TAATGCTGTATATATCCTGAGAGATGCTGTCCGCGTGTGAGGTGGCTGTGTGATTAGAATGTATATTAAGCCACAGGGGGTTATAGAGCTTCAATTAAGCTAGATCAGCTGGTGGTGGTCTGATGACATACCGGTTGTATTGCATCTGGAGACCCTCGTCAATGGAGGAGTGATTCTCTTCGCTATTCGTCTTTGTGGATTTATTTGATACATTTCATTAACTTTTTGGTTAATGATTTAATATTTTCTGTTCGTTTTCTCTCCATTCATCCATCTTTCCTTCTGTCTTTCCCTTTCTCTCTCTTTTCTTTCTCATCCTCCATCCCTTTATCCTTCCTCTTCCTTCGTCCTTCGCTTCTTTCACTTTTCCGTTCTTCTTTCTCTCCCTTATTCTACCCTTCCCTACCCTCCCCCTCCTCCCTCCCTTCCCTCCCTCCCTCCCCTCCCTCCCTCCCTCCCTCCCTCCCTCCCTCCCTCCTTCCTTCCTTCCTTCCCTCCCTCCCTCCTTTCCTCCCTCCCTCCCTCCCTCCATCCATCCATCCATCCATTCATCCTTTCCTCCCTCCCTCCCTCTTTTCTTTCCCTCCATACCAATACAAACAAGGAACGTATGTACTTATCATTACATATCCAACATTTACTGCATTCGGAATGAAGTGGTTGGCGTGTCGCGATCTTGTCCCTTGAATGTACTGTGTCAGAGGCAGTAAGTACCAGCTCTATGGCAGGGATAAAAGACCCAGATATGTAAAATACTAACACGTCAATGAACTTTGACCTCGTACTCACAATCTAAATTGGTCATGACAATACGAATAAAGCAAAGACCTCGAATGGAACAGGAAGTATCATTATAGTAGAATCACTGAAGAGATTCCACTGAAGAAATATTGTATATAGAATGATGTGAACTTTGTGGGTGTGTATGTGTATATATTGTGGGAGGCGGTTTAGGTGTATCATTATTGTAAGTTTATTATCTAAATTTTGTGTTACGTAAGGGGAGATTTGGGAGTATTATTATAGTAGACGTGTAATAACCTCCATTAAAGAAATATTATATACTTGTATATAATCATAAATTTTGTGTGTACATTTGGAGGGGGTGGGGGTGATTGAGGTGTAATATTATTGTTGAGTTACTTAATATGTTCTACAATAAATTATTATGTCTAATCATATATATGTGTGTGTTTGGGAGGGGGCATTAGGTGTAAAAAAATATAGTTAAAATTACTTAATAGCTTCGATCTTAAAAGTTTTCTGAAAAGTCGATATACCATACTTATAATTCGTAAATATTTTATCGATGAATCCGAAGCATCTAGGCCTATATTTGTGATATTACTCCGGTCAAAGCTGAAAGGTCTATAGGATAATAAAAAATCAAAATATCATTATTACCTTTATCATTATATTACTATGACATACCTATCACATCAATACCATCGTATATATGCTAAATACAAATATTATTATTACCACTATCATCATATTACATAGCTATCACATTAATATCATCGTATGAATGATAATCCAAGTATTATTATTATTACCTATTCAACACAATTACACGAACGCCAAAGAGATTGTATAAACGATCGAAATGGAATTCAGCTTGACATCTTGTACGATTCGATCCTCTACATTAGGATTGGAATCCTCCTAAAATCCCCTTAAAGTCTCGGTATAACAGGATGCTAGATCGTCACTCTTGTCACTCTCTGGTCCCTTAATAACTGGCAGAGCTAACTGTTAAGCTGACTGGTAGCTAACTGGTAGAGCTAACTGGTAACTGACTGGTAGGCTAACTGTTAAGCTGACTGGTAGCTAACGTAGAGCTAAACTGGTTAACTAACTGGTAACCAGCTTAAACAGCTAACTGTTATAACTGACTAGAGCTAACTGGTAAGCTGACTAGAGCTAACTGTTAAGCTGCTAACTGGTAGAGACTGTAACTGCTAACTGGTAACTGACTGTAGAGCTAAATCTAAACTTGCTAACTGCGTAACTGACTGTAAGCTAACTGGTAACTGACTGTTAAGCTGACTGGTAGCTAACTGGTAGTAAACTGGACTGGTAGAGCTAAGTAACTGACTGGTAGAGCTTAACGTGAGTAACTGACTGGTAGAGCTAACTGGTAACTGACTGGTAGAGCTAACTGGTAACTGACTGGTAGAGCTAACTATTAAGCTGACTGGTAGAGCTTGGCTAACTGACTGGTAGAGCTAACTGGTAACTGAGAGCTAACTGGTAAACTGACTGTAGAGCTAACTGGTAACTGAACTGGTAGAGTTAACTGACTGTAGAGCTAACTGGTAACTGCTAACTAACTGACTGTAGAGCTAACTGTAACTGACTGGTAGAGCTAACTGGTAACTGGTAAGACTGGTAGAGCTAACTGGTAACTGACTGGTAACTGGACGAGCTAACTATTAAGCTGACTGGTAGAGCTAACTGGTAACTGACTGGTAGAGCTAACTGGTAACTGACTGGTAGAGCTAACTGGTAACTGACTGGTAGAGCTAACTGGTAACTGACTGGTAGAAGCTAACTAACTGACTGGTAGAGGCTAACTGGTAAGACTGGTAGAGCTAACCTGATGGTAGAGCTAACTGTAACTGACTGGTAGAGATGACTGGTAGAGCTACTGGTAACTGACTGGGAACTGACTGACTGTAGAGCTACTGGTAGAGTAACTGACTGGTAGAGCTAACTGGTAACTGACTGGTAGAGCTAACTGGTAACTGACTAGAGCTAACTAACTGACTGTAGAGCTTAACTGAGCTAACTGTCTGACTGGTAGAGCTAACTGGTAACTGACTGGTAGAGCTAACTATTAAGCTGACTGGTAGAGCTAACTGGTAACTGACTGGTAGAGCTAACTAACTGACTGGTAGAGCTAACTGGTAACTGACTGGTAGAGCTAACTGGTAACTGACTGGTAGAGCTAACTGGTAACTGACTGGTAGAGCTAACTAACTGACTGGTAGAACAGACTGGTAGAGCTAACGGTAACTGACTGGTAGAGCTAACTGACGTAAACTAGAGCTAACTGGTAACTGACTGGTAGAGCTAACTGAGTAACTGACTGGTAGAGCTAACGGTAACTGACTGGTAGAGCAACTGTATAACTGACTGGTAGAGCTAACTGGTAACTGAAGAGACTGACTGTAGAGCTAACTGGTAACTGACTGGTAACTGACTGTAGAGCTAACTGGTAACTGACTGTAGCTAACTATTAACTGACTGGTAGAGCTAACTGGTAAACTGACTGGGGGACTGGTAACTGACCGAGCTACCTGTTGAGCTGGAGCTGGAGAGGCGAAAATGGATCAGTTCGAGGTAGACTCAGGGGTAGTCTGCATGACGCACACACGAACTCAAGTCAGTCAGTCAGCCACACATTCCCTCTCATTAATTCACGCACCTTTTCTCGCACAATCATTCATACAAACACTCATTCATTCACTCACTCACATACTTATTTACTTCACACACTTACTAATTCATTCACTCACTCTTTCATACATGTTATTACGTACACACGTTGTTATAGACACACACACACACACACACACACACACACACACACACACACATATATATATATATAGATATATATATATATATATATATATATATATAATATATATATATATATATATATATATATATATATATATATAATCATCATATATAAATATAACTATACGTAAATATATATGTAATATACGAAATATATATAACATACGAATAGCTCACTCAATTTAATAACAGTAATATTAGAATACCAGACCAAAATCAACTGGGAAATTACGGAGAGCAATCGCTTGGGAAATGTGAGTCCTATAATCTTTCCGGTCCTTAAATTCCCCAATAAGATTCATCGCTTGGAAAACACGTCTGAGACTTGTTCGGAACTTGTCTTAGACGTGGCGAAGGGGAAGGTCAGTCCATTCCCCCGCAGTTAGTCGACCGCGAGGAACAAAGGTCACCGTCATTTGCGAAGAGACGCGCTGAAATGCAATATAAAAAGAAAAGGAAAGAAAAGAAAGAAAAAAAAAGAGGACGAAAGAAAGGCAGGTTGGTCTGATTCTGAAATTTCTTATTATTGATGCAATCTTGATATTTTCTTGTTGCTGTATCGTAAATTATTTGGAACAGGGCAATAAAGATATTTATCTACTCATTTATCTATCTAATCTATCTGTCTCTATCTATCTCTATCTATCTATCTATCTATCTAACTGTCTACCTATCTATCTATCTATCTTCTCTCTCTCTATCTATCTATCTCTCTATTTACCTACCTACCTATTCATCCATTTGTTCATTCACTCATCTATTTTTTGTGTTTGCAGAAATCTACCTCACAGTTTATGTGTTTCAAAAATAGCCTGGTTTTCCTGTTGGCAAAAAGAAATGGGCTTTTTGTGGTTGAATCCTGAATCTGTATAGTAAGCGAGAGAGAGAGAGAGACACAGAGAGGAGAGAGAGAGAGAGAGAGAGAGAGAGAGAAGAGAGAGAGAAGAGAGAGAGAGAGAGAGAGGAGAGAGAGAGAGAGAGAGAGAGAAGAGAGAGAGAGCCGAGTGAGAGAGAGAGAGAGAGAGAGAGAGAGAGAGAGAGAGAGAGAGAGAGAGAGAGAGAGAGAGAGAGAGAGAGAGAGAGAGAGAGAGAGAGAGAGAGAGAGAGGAGAGAGAGAGAGAGAGAGAGAGAGAGAGAGAGAGAGAGAGAGAGAGAGAGAGAGAGAGAGAGAGAGAGAGAGAGAGAGAGAGAGAGAGAGAGAGAGAGAGAGAGAGAGAGAGAGAGAGAGAGAGAGAGAGAGAGAGAGAGAGAGAGAGAGAGAGAGAGAGAGAGAGAGAGAGAGAGAGAGAGAGAGAGAGAGAGAGAGAGAGAGAGAGAGAGAGAGAGAGAGAGAGAGAGAGGAGAGAGAGAGAGAGAGAGAGAGAGAGAGAGAGAGAGAGAGAGGAGAAAGAGAGAGAGAGAGAGAGAGAGAG